ATATATATAAAGCTAGATAAAGTGGAACAGGAAAGAACAGAGGACTCCCTAGAGCTATCATTTCATGACATTTTTTTTTTTAAACCAAGAAACTAACTTTCCCCAGAGATCACATTTTAGTGAAATAGTAGAGTGGCACACAAAACAAGGGAAACCTGTAAGATCAGTGCCCTACTTCAAAAACATACATGAGATGAAATGTCAACAATTACTGAAAAGCAAAGATAAACATAAGGGGGCAGGAAAACTAGAGTAGTGGGAATTGAAAAAAAAAAAGCAATTAAAGAGAATATTGACACATTGTGGTAAATGTAGTTAGTGTCACCAAACAACTTACATGGATATTGTCAAACAGAAACCTAACTTGCTGTGTAAACTTTCACCAAAATCTCAATAAAATAGTATTTAAAAAATAATAAATGAAAACAATCATGGTATTCTGACACTTATTTTTTACTGGATCCGAAATTACGTTCTTTTCCTCAATTTCTGCTGGTATTGATTTGTATCTTCTCTCTCTCTCTCTTTTCTTTTAAATTAATTTTGCAAGACTTTTTTCTATTTTATTAATCATTTAATCAGCTTTTGATTTTCTTTTCTCTGTGTGTTTTCTTGTTTCTTATTATATTATTCTCTGTTCTAATATTTATTATTTCTCTCTAACTACTTTATTTCAAATTACCTTGCTATTTACATTCTGCTTAGTGGACTGATTTCAAAATATCTTCTTCAAACAAAAGAAAATCATAATTTCCCTCTAACTACTACTTAAGCTGCATCATACATACTTAGGTGTATTTGTTTTTATTGTGATTCAGTTCTAAATATGTTTTGTTTTCATTTTCATTTTGAATTACTTTTGGCCTATGGTATATTTGGAGCTCTGGTGATACCATGTCTAAGACATTGACTGCTAACCAGAAGGCTGATGGTTCAAAACCACCAGCTGCTACATGGAAGGAATCCACTTTTATAAAGATTTACTGCCTCAGAAAACCAATGGGAGTCACTATGAGTCAGAATCGACTCACTGGCAATGAGTTTTATTTTTATTTAATGATGGGTTTAGAAGTGTTTTATACAACTCCAAATGTAGTGGATATATTTTAGTTTTTAATTTCTCATTTAACTTCATTTTAGTAAGGAAATGTAGTTTTATGATATGTTTGTCATATATGAACTCTCTTTTTGATTCTATATTTGCTGCTGAGAAATTTGCTGTCACTAATTATGTTCTTTTCTTTTTATGTAGACAGATTATCTCTCTCTCTTTAGGATTTTAAAAGCTCACTGCAAAATGTTTGTTTTTATTTAAGCTTATTTATTCAATTCCTTTCTTTCTTTCTTTTTTTCCCCCAAATTCTGAACAAGTCTCGATCATTTTACATTATGATATGATCTGTTCCCAGTTCTTTCTATTCTCAATTTCTGATTTAAAAAAAAAACAAAACTCATTTTGACCAATATCTGACTTCTTTTTTTTTCCTCATGTCACTAGGTTATCTTTCATATTGTCAATCATTATCTCTCTGATGTATTTTTGTAATTTCTTCAAACCAGACTTCTGTCAACCAATTGTCTCTTCAGCTACGTCTAATATGCTACTTTGACCATCTTTAACATTTTAAATTTCATCAATTACATATTTCATTACATTCATTTCTAATTTTAATTCTAGTCTACCCACTCTAATTTTATAGTGTCTTGGAGCTCTGGTGGCATAGTGCTAAGGCACTTGACTAATAACCAGGAGGCTGGAAGCTCAAGCCCACCAGCCACCCCTTGGAAGGAAGATTGGGCTATCTACTTCTGTAGTAATACTGTCTTGGAAACCCAAGAAGGGGTTGCTATCAGTCAGATTAGACTCAAAGGACAGTGAATTTGGTTTGATTTTTTTGGTCTTTTCAGGTTATAATTTCTTACGGGTTTTGTAATTTTAAATAAACATGATGCAATCTACTTCCATAAAGATTTACAACCTTGAAAACTCAGTGTGTATTGGTGGGGAGTCACTATGAATCAGAATAAATTTGATGACTATGGGTTTGGTTTTTGGTTTTTAGTAGAAGTTTAAGAAAATAATGCGTAACATCACTTTCCCCACTCATTTTTGAACTGGTGAAAAAACATTACATTTTGGAGAACAAAATATCATCTTTAATTCATAAAGCTTGTGGTGAAGACAGAAACATAACTTTTTTAAAATTTATTTTAATACCAGAATCTATGTTTAAATAGTTAGAGATGTGATCAGTATGTTTTCTCCCTACAGGGGCAATAAGTCTCTCCTTTGTACTCTAAAATAGTTTCGTACAGATTACTATTCTACTAAGAAAATATTAAGGTTATATTGCTTCTATCTGTGGTATATATTTCTTCTCATTCACAGTATGTGGTTTCTTTTTCTGATTAGTAACTGTTTCTTTTTTTCCTAAGAAAATCTTCTGCAGCCTGATTTATCATATTTACACACATACAGCAGATTTTCCTTTTTTCCATGTACCTCAGAATTATTATAAAAGATGAGAGAGCAATAGAATTGCAAAAAAAGGGGGGGGGGCAGGGAGAAGACCATAAGCAAATATGGCATCACTACCATAATGGCAAGAGATGCTTGGAATAAGGAAACAAAGGTTTCCTTTTAATAGGAATAATTGACATTCAGGAAAAAAAATGGTATACATTTGATAGAGGCTAAATAATGAAAAAGAGTACTCATCATAATATTTTATTTCAATACATATTTTCCCATATTGTCTTATACTTACATGGTACTACACTACATAGTACTACAATCTGTACATAGTACACTAATTGATACAATTTTGAACATGTGTGAGAGTTAGTCAATATCTTGCATAACGAATTTAGAAATATTGGTATTTGGGGTCAGTTTTTCACAATAATTTTCTTCTACTTAATGGAATATAGCATATGTTTCAAAGCAAGCAGCTTACCTTTACCCAAGAGGGATATCTCCCAGAAATTTCTACTGGTTCAAAAAACACACAGCATCATTGCTGCTCTACTGCTCTTTTAATTACTTTTTGCTTTTTTATTTAATCTCAATAAAGTTCATTGCTCTCCATTTCTCTGCACAATTTCCCTTGGGAGTGAGAAATGCAATATGTTTACTATGTGTTAATATTTCAAAATGTACCTTTAATTTCAAACCAATCACTAAGATATATACCACTTACATAACACATTGCCAAAGCTAAACAGAGTCAGTTGCTTCTGTCATAAATTAACCAACATTTTCATCTTTTCTATCTGTGCCTTAAGATACAAAACAACAGTAACCTGAAAATGACATCTAATGAGATAATGCTCTCAAGTCACAAAAATAAAAATATATTCTTCAGGATTTTTGTTAACTTCCTAAAAATTATTTAAATAAATAAATAAATAAGAAGTAAGAATAGACATTGCAATAATTTTATGAGCATTTTCATCATTTCTTAATTTTTTTATTTAAATAATTTGGGCACATTCACCATACTATATACTATATTTTGCAAAGAGAAAACAAATTAAATTCATGCCTTGGAAAATGGGAACTATTGTGACTTGTTTTGCAGTAAAACTCTAAGTGCATCTAATATTAAATGAATACAAACCAAAAACCATGTCATAAGCCAGGAGCACAAAGGTATAAAGATGAAGACTATGACCTCCAAGAACTCATGATTGATTAGAGGTACCAGATAAATGATTCTTATTTAAAACAAACTGTGTCAAGAGGTATAATACATAAAACAAAACATATTTAGAAATACATGGAAATAATAGATTGATGCTAAACAAGCTGAATGAAGTCAAATTGTAGAAGGCAGAATTCACCAGGTATTTAATTTCAATACACATACTTATTGCTGCCATTTATCTTTTCTGAAACTTGCAAATTTTTTAAGTCTCATAGAAGTAGGTACAGATATTGCGACTCTAAGAAAACAAAACAGAAAAGAATGAAATAAGGAAATCACACACAAAAAAAGTTCATTGATTATTGTTTTTTGAGTAAATTTGAAACTATGTGTCTTATGAATTTTATTACTAACACTAAAGACACACCTAGTAACCCATAGTCCTCAGTTTTCCATAAACATATCACTTCGATGTGTGGATAGGTATGTTGTGATGTAGTTTACTTAATCAATCATACGTCCTATGCAATTTTCCCAAAAGATAGGAGTCATGCCACATAGCAAAGGATAAAGTAATAATGATTATCCTTTCCAATCAATGTCAAAATTACATACCAACCATTGTAAATGAAAAGAGAGGAAAGCAGAAAAAAGATTGCCAAGCCTGCTAAAGAACAAAAGTCTTTGAATCAAGGGGACAAACACATTCCATTTGATTACAGTGAGAATGCAGTCATGAGGAGATCCCAACACAATCAACAAGATGATCCAGTACTAAAAATTCCTCATACAAACCCTGTTGCTGCTCAGGAAAACACGTTTCCTTTCAGAGTTTTCCTTAGAGCAAGTCTGACATCCTTATTCCTCAAACTGTAGATCAAAGGATTCAGCATGGGTCCTACATTTGTATAAAACACTGAGGCCACTTTCCCATGATCCATAGACTCTGCATCAGAGGGTTGGACGTACATGAATGAAGCTGCTCCAAAGAAAAGAGAAACAGTCATTATGTGGGAACTGCAGGTGCTGAAGGCTTTGGACCTTCCCTCAGTGGAGCTGATGTGGAGGATGTTGGAGATGATGAAAGCATAGGAGATGAAAGTGGTGCTTGTGGACACCAAGATATTCATTCCAACGAGAACAAAGACCACAACCTCATTGACATAAGTGCTGGTGCAGGAGAGCTGCAGCACAGGGAGGATGTCACACAGGTAATGGTTGATGACTGTGGCATCACAGAAGGTCAGTCTTGCCATACAGAGAATATGGGCTAGGGAACCCCAACATCCCATCACATATGACCCAAACACAAACAGAGAATATATACGAGGAGATAATATAACATTATATAGCAATGGCTTGCAAATAGCAACATAGTGATCATATGCCATTGCTGTCAAAATACAGCACTCAGCAATGACAAAGAAACAGAAGAAGTAAAGCTGAGTCAGGCACCCTGTATAGGAGATGATGTTTTTCTCCAGTACAAAGTTCATCAGCATTTTGGGTGTGAAGACAGAAGAGTAACCTATATCTATGAAAGATAGATTAAAGAGGAAATAATACATGGGTGTGTGAAGGTGTGCATTTAATGAAATTAATGTGATCAAGCCCAGATTGGCCACCACAGTAACCAGGTAGATCCCTAGGAATAGGAAGAAGAGAGGGAACTGAAATTCTGGCAAGCTGGTTAAACCCTGGAGGGTAAATTCCATTACCAATGAGTAATTTCCATCAGTCATTCTCTCCCAGGAGTAGATCTATGGAGATAAAGGAGAAAGCCAAATTAGAAAGAAACTGAGCTTTTCTGAGCCATTCTCACTCATGAAATTGCACGCAGACTGGCATTCTATGGCCCTTTGTAGGTTCCCAGCAACATATTATGATTTATAGAAACTCTGCAGACTCAGAGTGTTTCTCCAGGTCCCTGAGAATAGAAGGCTGAAGCAGCTGGACCTTACATAGGACTGCCAGAAATTTTGACGTACAAGAATGAGAAGACATGAGACACATGATAATTTAGCAGAACACTTTTAATAGAACAGTATTTTGGTAAAAAGTCTATTTCATGGTGATAAAATATTAAACATTCAGCTTTAGTTTTTTGGTTTTTTTTTTTTTTTTTTTTAACCATGCTTTGTGTCAGATGTTACTGAATTTCATCTGATCTTTAGGCTTCATGCAGTGACAGATGAGTAGAAATGACAGATGATGTGATTCTCAGAATGAGTATGGGTCAGCATTGTATGAGGTGCATGGGTGATGTGAGGAAAGAAGGGAGTTTCAAGGATAGGGTAAGGCTAATGGATGTGGTAATTCATGGAATGAGGCCCAATGATGGAGACAATGTCAGCAATGCCATAAGGCTAATATATAGAGTGAGAAATTGAGTAAGGCTTGAATATTATCTAAAGCTCAGTGGTTGGGATAAGGTTATGGGGTAGAGTGAGGAATGGATAAGGCAACAAGAATCAGGAAATGATTAAGGCTCAGATATGTGAAAAGGGCAGTAAAGGGTTAAAATCCGAAATGTGGGACAAATCAGAGGTGAGATAAGGGGTGGAATGAGGTGGGATAAAGAAAGTGAAGTGTAGGGTACAAAGCAGAGACAAGAAGTTCACAGAAAGGTAGTTAGATATGGGGTAAATTTTATACCGATCCAAAACCAAAGCCACTGCCATTGAGTCAATTCTGACTTACAGTGGCCCCATTGGGTTCCTGAGGCAGTAAATATTTATAGAAGTAAATTGCCCAGCCTTGTTTCCATGGAGTAGCTGGTGGATATGAACCACAAACCTTTTGGTTAGCAGTCAGATGCCTTAGGCACTGTGCTATTAGAGCTCCAGGGGTAAAGTTTAGGGATGGATAAATATTCAGGGCTAAAGTGAGACTTAGGAATGGAATGAATGATAGAATGAGACTCATTGATGAAATAAGGATCAGGAATGTGATAACTCATTGCCGTTGAGTCTATTCTGACTCATAGCGATCCCTACTTGGGTTTCCAAGGTGGTATCTTTATGGAAGTAGATTATAATATTCATATATCTAGTTGTTTAATGCCTTCTCTCCTGCTACACTGTAATTTTATTCATGAAGACCAGCACCTTGTCTCCCTTATTCATTTGTATCCCTTCTACATAAAATACTGCTGGCACGTAGTAGGCACTCAATACATACTTAATGTTAGTTGTGGAACAAAAGCCCATTCAAAATCACCCCATTTTGATATTGCCTATATGTTACTCCTATTTATGCCTTTTCTCTCTTTATCTGTGTTCATCCTTTGTCAGTCTAGTTAATTTCAGAGATGGTTAGATGATATTTTAGCAAAGAAAATGGACATCACCCAAAGTCAAATAGCTAGAAGACCATAGAGTTTAGATCACCTTACTGAGGAATGTCCCAAGAGATCAAAGGTCTGTCTCCACAGTGACTCTTGTCTTCTTTTCACATTGTGTCTATGTCCCTCTTTTCCAAATTCTGCAGTCAGAAGACCCTCAAATTCAGTGCTATCTCCAGGAAAGAAACATTACCCATAGAGCTCTTGGCCCCCTTTTTTTGTGAGTTTAGAAGGTGAAGGATTCTTGCAGGAGGTGTTATATTAGGGTAGTCATGGATTTCCTTCTTGTGAAACCAAAGCTGATCCGTATTTTATCTCTTCCACCAGTATTTTGAGTCAAAATGATTCCAATAATATAGATGGGAAGAATCTCAGTACAAAATCCCCAGCTGCCTAAGGAGCTGAGGGAATCAGCACAGACTCTAGCCTCTGAATGACCTTGGAACTCCTCCACAGTTAAGGGTCAAGCATCTATTTCACTGACCTTCTGTCAAGGAGTACAAGCCAGTTGTAGCACAGGAAAAGTCCTCTTTACAATCAGATGAACAACCAAGGAATACAACACAAGATCTTAGGGAAATGATTAGCTCCAGAAATAGAGCCTCCTCAAGGAAACTGTGGCAGCTCTGTATTTTTACATTTGAGCAGTGATGCTCACAATATTTCCTGAGAGACCCAATCTACAACTCATATTTTATCTCTCCATCAGAGAGTTCATATTCTCAAGCTCAATGAAGGGAGTGTCATTCTTTCCCCTGATTCCCTAGGTTCTCCTAGCCCTAGACCTGAAAGTTAAATCCCTTTGCACTAAGGCTGATCACTTACCCAGTTATCATCTCCAGTGGTTTACCTTCTTAAGTGAAAAGTTGTGAGGCCAGGAGTTTAGGAGTTAGTTAGTTCCCTAAACATGACACATATAGATCATTCCCAACCTGATCAAGAGTTGTTCCCTCCATAAGAACATCCCATACGTAGGACCTCTACTGATTTCATTGGAATTAAAATAGCTGTTCTCCCAGGCTTTTTCATGAAATACCCTTAGTATTTCAGAATAGCCCCATTTGTGACTGCTGCCAAGTCCTGCAAAATTAAATTTGTAAAACTTCTTCCTCAGTAACTCTCTCCAATAAGAATCATAAAATTCTTGTAAAGTTTCTGAGCAATTCTTATTAGAAAAAGGCTGAAGATGTTTCCTAAATCAGCACAAATTATTGTTTAAAGGGAAGCAGATTAAAGGGTTATATTTTCTCATATTTGATGCTTTCTAGAGCAGTACTGCCCAGTAGAAATATAAAGCCACATATGAGCCACATATATAATTTAAAATTTTCTAGTAAGCTACATTAAAATATTATAAAGAGATGAAACTTATTTTAAAAATATACTTTATTTAACCATGTGCGTGGCTTTAAAAAACAAAAAGTTATTGTCTTACAGGTTTGGAGACTGTTGTTGTTGTTATGTGCCGTCAAGTCAAACCTGACTCATAGCGACCCCTTCTTGGGTTTCCGAGGCAATATCCCTATGGAAGTAGATTGCCCAATCTTCCTTCCAAGGAGTGGCTGATGGGTTTGAACTGGCAGACTTCTGCTTAGCAGTCAAGGGTCTTAGGCACTATGCTACCAGGTTTGGAAACCAGAAATCCTAATTCAGAGTGTTAGCAGGGTTATGCTCTCTTTCTGTGGGCTCTAAGGGAAAATACTTCCTGGTAGCCTCAGACATTTCTTGCTGTTCCCTGGTGTGTAGATAGGTCCTGACATGTGTCCTCCCCCATGTATGATTCTATTTCCTAGTCTATTCTGCCCTTTTAGAAGACTCCACTGAGAAGGGATTAGAATTAGGACCTACTAAAAAATATTATAACCTTTGTTTTGTTTGTTTGCTTTTCTGATTTTTTTTAAAATTAATTTTTACTGTAGTTTGGATGAAAGTTTAGCTTTCCATTCAACAAATTACACACATTTTGTTTCATGATTGCAATCACCTCAGTATAACAATAGTCTTCCCACTTCTTCTTTGGTTTCCCCATTTCTATTCATCCTTCTTTCCCACACCTTCCTACCTTCTGAACTTTGTTTTGGGGCACACGCTGCCATTTTGGTCTCATATGGTTGATTGTACTGAACAGTACATTCATTTCTCCTTGGTGTTTTCTTCATTTTATAGCTGGTTTATTTTTTGGCTGTTGTCAGTAGTGTCCAGTGCCTAGAGAAGGATATCATGCTTGGTAAAGAGAGGAGGGTCAGTGAAAATGGGGAAGTACTCCAATGAGATGGATTGAAATAGTGGCTGAAACAATGATTGAGAGGATGGTGCCAGACCGGACAGTGTTTCATTCTATTGTGCATAGGGTAGCTATCAGATGAAATTGATATGATGGCACTAACAAGAACAACAATGTTTGACTGAAAGTTGATCCCCAGGAATATGTTCAGTTCCTAGCTTAAAGGGTATCTAAAGGCCACAGCCTCAGGGGGTCCACCAGTCTCTATGAGACCAGAAAGTCTGGTCCTTTTTATGATTTTGAATTTTGTTTTACTTTTCTCTCTCTCTCTCTCTATTCTTCTCTGTCCAAGACATTCTATTGTGATTCTGATCAGAGTGGTCAATAGTGGTACTTAGCTCTTCCACCTGCACACTGTACCTCTCCTCATTGGCCACGTTCATTAAGTTTCTTCTTTCAGTTGGTGTTTGATCTAATTCTTTATCCTTTCATTTGATGATCACGGTACTATGATTGTATCTATATATGTTTCACTTTGTTTCTCAGGTCTTTGTTATAGAGGGACAGTGGTGTGTCTGATTAGGTCTCCATTTCAGTTTCTCTTCCTCCCAATTTAAGGATTCTTCATTTTACTTTGAGGAAAAACAGGAAGATTTTCTTTCATCCCCAGAACCTTAGGTACCTTTTTGAAGCAAGGGAATACTTTCTTTTGCTGTTTGCAGGTCTTTGAACTCCAAACAGATGCAGGAGTACAATATTCTCCTAGGACAACAAGTACAAGGTCGATTCTCAGAGATGAAATTCCCCTGAGGAGAAATAAAGCAATTACTGAGTTATATCTGCAGCCAGAAGAATGGCACTCCCATGATATTGGAATTTCCAATGTTCATAACAAAAGTTTTTATCTTTTATTGATTAAAGATAAAAAAGAAGAACATTTTATGCAACAGCAGGGAATGACTCCCATGTCACGATTGGAGGATTACATAAACAGATGTGTCTCAGTTTGGCAAGGGTGTTCTCATTCATTTCAAAGAGTAGATGATCTCTGTGTATGGCCCAAAGGAGAGCACAGCAATTCTTACTTTTGTATTTGTATATCTTTGTACTATATCTAACATCAATTAATCAATCATTATTCTCCTTTAATGTTGAGTAAACATCTTAGCAATATC